TTCAAGACAGGTCCTTGCGGACTGCGACACCTTTTGCTTCCTGGTAGTTCTGCACAATGCTTATCTCTTGTAGATTTTCATCTCCTGCTATCTGAGGCAACTGCAACTCAAGCAAATCCTCGCGGACTATTGCAATTGTCTCCCTAAGCATGTTCCTCTGTCTATCCTTGGACAGTGCATTATTGAGAAATTATAAAAATTGAAGAATCATGCAAATAATTGAATTAACACTGTCATTGCAATGTGATATATTTTGATTATCTTACGGCTCTTGCTATAACACTACCCCCCCCCCCCCTTTTGTTGCCCTCCTGTCTCTGCCTCTGGTGTACTACTTTCAGAGAAAGCCAGCACTATCCCGTCGAGGGCGACGGTTAATAGCGTATGCCGAGCGATTTGAGGAACAAGGGTTACCGCCCTGCGTCTCCACTGCTAGGGACCCGCGACCAGGGCTCGAAACCTGCAGCACACTTGACCAGGGCCCACGGCCCTGACCAGACCTCTCCTCCTTGGGGGTGCTCCCTCACGCGCGCCCTGCTCGGCGCGCCTTTGGGCTCTCTTGCCCACTACTGCACTGTACGAGACAGGAGGGGTAGGTAGCGTGGCACGGGCTATCAATAAACAGCTGAACCAGAATTGTCTCTCCATAAACCCACCAAATCAGGGTAAACAAAACCCTGACACCTTATAACAAGACTAAAGGAGCCCTAGAATTAAAACTAGGACGAAATAATATCTGTGTACGGTGTAAGAATGAAGTTATTCTTGCATGTATAACTACACCCGGAGCGGCAGGGGAAATCCTTGAAGTAAGCAGAGCTTATGGCAAAGGACACTGTACGAACCTCGTTGTGTTCGATGTCCCGAGGGAAATTGACACCAGCGAGATCAAGGAACACAATAAAAAGATTATACACGCTAAACGCATTCAATTTAATGGTAGGATGACATAGCGGCTCGTCATCACTTAAGGGGAGAAAATACCCCAAACCCTCAAAATTGTGGAGGGCATGGCACCTTTAAGGTGCGCTGTTTTCAAATCACTCCCCCCATTTTGCGCCAACTGTTCCAGATGGGGGCACGGGGCACGCGCTTGTCCCTGCGAGGAGCCGCGCTGTCGGTACTGCGCGGCCACTCACATGAGCAGGGAGTGCGCCGAAAAAATCGCACAGGGTAATCGACTCCCAAGGAAATGTGCCAATTGCAGACTTGATCATAATGCAAACTCCCCATTATGTGCTTATTATCCAAACGACAGGAAAAATAAATTACTAAAGAGGCAACAGGCTGCTCTGCCCCCTCGCAACCCCATATCAATTCCTCGCCTTAATGATGAGGCAGAATTCCCCCAGCTTGGGAGGATAAATGTGGCGAGGTATGCTGAAAGAAAACAGTCGGTCTCTCCAGCCTTACTATCGGCACCAACTCCTGCTCCAGCGCCAGCCTCAAGGTCTGCTTCAGCCCCTGCAGTGTCAGTATCTGTTCCTTCGGCTACTTCGGCATCAACCTCAGAACCTACTTCGAGATCGACATCGCTTTCGAAATCTGCAACACATGTTTCAGCACATACAGCAGTTCCAGTTTCTACACCTGCTTCAGTGCCAGAGCCGACCCCCACACCTCAGGAGAGACAGGACTTACTACAAATGTTGATGCAGAAAATAGAACAAATGATGCTCTTGATGCAGCAACAATTTGCTCAGCAACTACAGTTCCCTGACACCTTGGACAACAGTTCACCCCTCTACAACCTGTAGCAGAATTTGAAAATCATCAGAGGACAACTGATGGCCTACATTGACTTTGAGTATACCATAATAGAAAATTAAGATTTATGGAAACACTGTTCATTTTTATAAAAAACATGTGTGTTTTTCTTTTCAGTTATTAGATACTCATTAAGGCGAGCACTAAGGTGCAACCCTTCAGGCATGTATATTTAATGTTTGATTTTGGCCCTTAAATCAATATACGTTCAGCCAGATTGGGTAGATGTTTGGACTTCTTTCCCTGGCTTTTTACAGGGCATGTAAACTGTTCTGTAAATATTTTTTTTCAAATCAAATCAGATCAATTACCCGGCAGATTTGCCATGTCGGAGCGGGAAGACGCTCCTACCTCTCAGGGAGGGCAATCCACACCAACTTCTTGGTCTACGGGTGCTTCGAGGAATTCCATTCTCGGGGAAGGCTGTGAATGTAAATGGTGATGGTACAAAGTAAATGGTGATGATATAAATCCCTTTCTAGTTCTCATTGCAATTGAAAAAAAAGCAAAGTCTCATTTTCAACTCTTACATAAAATCAAAGCAAATGGATAGGAAGATCAACAACACTAGTCACTTCACGGAACTACCGTTCAATGTTCTTTCTTGCCAGAGGAGCTTTCGTCTCAGGTCTAAGACCTAAGAAGACCTAGCAAAACCCAAATGTAAGAAGTACAAAAATTGAAAACTTTGCTGAAAGAGTTCCATTAGGTAATATCAATAAACTTGATCACATCACCCTGCATATCAAAAAATTAAAATGGTTAAAAGTACAACCTAAATGTAGTTATGACATGTGTATTCATTTACAAGCTCATTCATGAGAATTATCCGCAATGGTTATTGCCCTTGCAAACTGTAGAGAACACATCAGGTGTTCAGACACGTCAAGCAAATTCTATGTTAAGAGATTGAGTAACGACACAGGGGCACGACAAATGGAAATCCGTGGACCCAAGTTATGGAGCATGTTGCCAGATAATATAAGATTCATTAACAACTTCTGTAATTTCAAAAAAAAAAAAGAACACCTATTGAATAATCAGTTGTAAATATGAACGTACTTATGTAGAGAGTAACCATTTTAATTAATGGAATAAAATGTTTTGACTGACGTTGGAAGTTTGATGTTCAAGGCTGTCCTTGCTGACTGCAACATCTTTTGCTTTCTTGTAGTTCTGCACAGTGCTTATGTCTTGTAGATTTTCACCACCTGCTGAGACAATTGCAACTCAAGTAAGTCCATGCAGGCTATTGCAATTGTCTCCCTAAGTATGTTCCTGTCTATCCTTTTACGATGAATTATTGAAAAAAAGAATAAACAAGAAATTAATGCAAATATAAATTTTCATTGCAATGTGAAATGTTTTGATTATATCTTAGGGCCCTTGCTGTCACACAACCCCCCCCCCCCCCCGTTTGCCCAACTGTCTAGGCCTGTCTCTGCCCTCTGTACTTCTTTCAGAAAACGCCAGCCCAGCTGCCCATCGAGGACGACGGTTAATAGCGTGTCAGACGATCCTGGAGGCCATGCCCTGTGCTACCAATCACAACGCGGGTTAACTAGCCACGCCCATCACTTGTGACCCTTGACCTGCCCTACAACACGAACTCACTCGACCCGGAGGCGTGACCTTGACCGGACCTTCCTGCTGGGGGGTCTCCCCATGCTACGCATCTCCGCTTGGATGCAACCTCCTCCTGGGGTTACCTACGCCCAGCCGGGCTTCCCCTTGCCCGGGACCTGCACTTGCACGAGACAGCCTCCTACAACCAATCTCAACCAATAAAGGACAGAAACAAAATTATCTATATCCACCAATTCAAGGGAAACCAAAACCCTGAGAGGACTCCAGCCTGTGAGTTTGTTTTGATATGCTACTTCCTGAGATCCTATTTCCACTCTTGGCCATTCGTGACCATGGTTATGTACTCTCAGAAACTAATTGAACTAAGTGGGATGAAAAGGATTAGATAACGATCCCTATCCATGAGATATCCCGTCAGAAAAAGGACCTACAACATACTAACAACGCTCTCGAAGGACGACACTTAAGCTTCTACCAAAAATATCCATCTGTTTACTTCATAATTACAGTATGAAGAACACAAGATATACATCAACTGGGAGGAAAGGACTAACGAGCAGGAAGAAATCCCAGCTGATCAATTAGGTGCTGAAAACGCTGACTGGACAATGGTGCTATTGTTAGAGTAAACTTCTTGAACGTTGTAGCCAAGGTGATAGGACAGCAATATTCTGGCTTAAAATATAATTAAGTCATTTATGCTATACAACTCTTGAGTTTGGTTCGAAACATGCCAATATAATGTAATGTACGTATTTATCATTCTGACAAAGCAATTCTTTCTTTAATAAGCTTCTACAAAGTGTTTCCTGTTTAAGGCTCATTCAAAGGAAACATCTGTTTTCATATCGACAACCTGTAAGATCGTTGATAAATGACTAAAAGGTGCCATTTTGGAGAGTTCTAACCTAGACGCGTCACAGTATGTCAAAATCAGTCTTGCGTTTCACTAATTTGTAGTAGTTAATATCTTGTCCTTGAAAAAAAAAAATCTAGAACAATTAACTAAAATTCGTTATCANTGTATATGTATGTATGTATGTATGTGTATGCATGTACATATATGTATGTGTATGTATGTACATATATGTGTGTATGTATGTACATATATGTATGTATATGTATGTACCTGTTAATAATTTATCCTTCAGAAGTTGTCATTCAAATAGCCGCAACATCATATCCAAGTACTCATGATTATATATCATAACTTACAGCAAAAAGTTACTGCTCTCTCTCTCTCTCTCTCTCTCTCTCTCTCTCTCTCATACCTCTAGTGGGAGTAAGATGTTACACTGTTAAAGTTGCATTTATGGGAATATGTTTGAATTTTAGGCTGGTAGATCGCATCAGGGTAACTGTAGAAAAAGTAGATCATAATCTCACAAAAGGTTGGCCAACCGATAAATAATATGCATACATATATATACATACATAAATTTATACATATGATAGTTAATGAGTATGTATGTGTGTGCGCGTTTGCATGCTAGTGTATTAGTTTACAGAACTATCACTGACACCAATGGGTATAGAGACACACGCGAGCCTTGTTTTCTTCAGAACGAATACACAAAAGCCCTTCCCCGGACGCCTGTGCGGTGCTTCCACGAGGAACGACCTCGTTTCACGCGTCCCCATAACGAGCGAACGAGCGGCATTGCAGCCCCCTCATGCCCAGCACCCTCTCGTGCAGCCTCAGTGCCCACATGAGCCCTTAAAAGTGTGGGTGTGGCGGTTCGCTTCAGTCACCAGCTCCTCCCGCTTGCGACGAACGTTTAGGCCATGTCTTGGAACCCGAACCACAGCGGCTACGGCGTCGCGGACTGGAATGCCTACGGGCCCAACGGTAAGAGAGAACGTTTTTTCAGTTATTATTTCTTTTGCTTGTTTATTTTTGTCAAATCAGCTGTAGCAGGAGGAAAGCCTAAAGTTAGCGCCCTTGTAATGACGGGTTTCTCTTGCAGGCATGTGGAACATGATGTCGATGTTCCCCGGGCTCCTTGCCGGGGCGGGAATGAGTCACCCGGGTTACATGTACCCCGGGTCGGGCTACCAGGGGTCCAGCGTGTCCCACACAGCGGGGTTGCCCCACCCTGCCGCCCTGCCGCACTCTTCCGCCTTGAACCACGCGGCCGCCCTGCAGCGACATCTCGTTCCGGCCGCCGAGACGTCCCCGCCGCTGTCTCCGGCCACGCATCCTACGGCTGCCATGTACAAGCCGCCCTCTCCTCACGCGGGTGTGGATCCTACAGCGTACGTCCCCGTCACGCCCCCGCACTCTCCCACGTCCGCCACCTTCGACCAGAGGTTTGCGTATCCTTCTCTGCCCGGCGCCCAAGTCGCCCAGCGAAGCGTCGTGCCCACACCTTTCGTGGGCGCGGGCCGAGAGCCCGTGACCGCTCCCCCGCTCGGTACGACCGTTGTGGATGTCCCCACGCGAGACGAGAACGGCCGCAAGCTGCCCCGCTGGATGATCAAGCGCGCCATGTGCACCATTTGCAGCAAGAGGTTCGAGAGCCGCCACAAGCTGCAGCTGCATCTGTACTCCCACACTGGCGAGCGGCCCCACGAGTGCGAAGTCTGTGGCATGCGGTTCGCGCGTAAGTTCTGCTACAAGCGGCACCTGAAGACGCACTCAGCCAGCAGGCCCCACGTGTGTCCGAGGTGCGGCCGCGGCTTCCGTGAGAAATACGACATGGAGACGCACATGATGACGGAGGTGTGTCTCAAGCAGGCGAAAGCAGAACACTTAACGAGCGCTTTTCTTAACGAAGACATTCCCGTGTCTGAGAATACCCAGGAAATTCGGAAGTTAGCCAGTCACCTTGTGCTCCCGAGGCCGCTGGAGGGAGTCGGAACCATGCCGGCGTCTTCTCGGACGTAGTTTCTACTGCTTATCTTCTGGTAAATTTTAGTCTACTGTACATACTGTATGTAGGGTTTTATCATGAACAGTGCTGTGATTTTAATGCATGTAAATAAATTCTGATTTTATATATTTTTTTGTCATTTCCACCACACTGTAAATGGCTTTACATCTATTACTGGGAAAATCACTGCATACATTACTAGCAGATCATATTATGTCAGTGCCGGTAAGAAGAAATGTATTCATAGGAACATTACACCACTTGCCTACCCGACGATGAAATTCAAGGGGATATCACTGGTAATTGAGACACCAATCGAGGGAAATTGATAATGCTTGTGAGAGACATGGAACTACGAATGCTAACTGCTCAATGGTAAACGAAACAAACAAGTCGTTTCGAGACAAAAAAAACCTCGCCCGCAGTTAGACGAAACTGCACATTCCAATACATTTCCTTAAATCAGATATACATAAAAACGTGTAAAAAAGCTGTTCAGCATATGTGATCAGTCATATAAATAGCTGCCTGAAATGAAGGAAAACCTACCGGGACTGCGAGAAAAAAAAAGAATGTTTCACTCTCTCCCCCTCTCTCTCTCTCTTTCAGGCATGAACATATCAAATACAAAACATTCTCTCTCTCTCTCTCTCTCTCTCTCNTATATATATATACATAAATATCATACATATACATACATATATATATTATATATATTATATATATATATATATATATATATATATATATATATATTATATATATATACAATGAGAGGATAAGAAGATGAAAGAGAGAGGAGAGAGGGAGAAGGGGCGAGAGAGGAGAGAGAGGGTGAGAGAAAGGGAGAGAAGGAGAGGGAGACAGTAACCAAATATTTAAAATTATATTGAATGAGGATTGAGCTTAATAAAAAATATATAATATATATTTTATTGTGCATATTTATGTCCTATTTTGTTCTTCATATACAAGCTCTTATAACAGGCTAGAAAAGAGCATAATCATGGAAATTAAAAAAAAAAATTCATGACAAGGTATCTCATTAAGTGGTACTGGTCTTAATCACTATCATCTATATACTACTGTTAAGGGTTCTGACTAAAACAGTGTGTGGCTGTGTTAGCTTGTTTAGGTGTACCTAGATTGTTTGTGTGGAGAGATTTGCTATGCCATCATAACTAGCTGATGTATACAAGACGTTACTGACTGCCCTATTGGAGTTGTTGATTGTCTGAGTTGTGGTTGGCCATTTGACATTAAGTGGATCCCC